TTCTATGATTCACCTCATCTTTCATAGACCCATCCGCTGACACGTCCACTCCCAAATATCTGAATACGTTCACCTCCTCCATACTCTCTCCCTCCAATCTGATATTCAATCTTTCATCACCTAATCTTTTTGTTATCCTCATAACCTTACTCTTTCCTGTATTCACCTTTAATTTTCTTCTTTTGCACACCCTACCAAATTCATCCACCAATCTCTGCGAAGGGCTATTAATCAACCTCTGCAACCACAGTTAGGTGAGTACACACACACACGCTACAGTTCTAGAAGGGCAAGCTGAAGGTATGGTACATCAACACACATGGAATAACAAATGAGAGTGGCAGGGTGGGAAATCGCATTTATCTGAATGTATCATTATTTACATAACAATAAATGAACATAGATAATTATTATTTATCAGTTAGACAAGTAGGAATCTGGGTCACCTAGGTCGCAAAAAATGTCCCCCTTCGATACCTACCACTGTCATATCCACAAGTTGCTCTGGACCTATTAATCATAAATGAAATATACGTCACCAGGAATGCTGGTAAATATATAAATTTGTGGACCGTATATTAAAAATAATAAATGATTATAGATACACATATATACACATTTACACAACAGAAGGAGAATATATCTTAATCATAACACTCACCAATTTGACTGGAGATTAATGTGTCATGTACAGGACTTCCCCCTTTTGCCTACATTTATGAAGAATTTACTGGCCAGAAATTAAACATAATTTAGACAGCTTATCCTGTCCTGTCGCCTGATTCTCAAATTATGCAGGAATGCACATCCAACAATTTCACCTCCTATTTGAGAGGTGTCAGCCCAATTTTAACCTCAAGAGCACAAAAAATTCTTCCCATTATTCACAACGTGTTATTCAATTCAAACAAAATGGCGACTGACCCTTCTCCCCAGGCTCAGTTTCCCAATTTTCTATGACATAAATGTTATTAAATACAGTATGGCCATCTATATCATATAAATACTGAATCGGGATCCACCACCACCCCCCACTAACACCATCCCTAAATTCGTCCCCTCCCCAATTCCAACATATTCACTTCATACCAAAACTGTACCCATTTACTCCGGGATTACTACTTACCCCCCCCAAATACATAGGGTAAAAACCCGAACCCATTGGGCCCACAACACGTTTCACTGGGAATTTTGTTTCCTCAACACACTGAATAACCCGGGGGGAAATAAATCCAATACTAAGAATCATTCTTTACAATAAGGAACAGGAAAATATTATTTTCCCTTTACTTTTAGGAACAACCACCTAGCCCAAAATCCCCCCACACCAGATAGATCAGGTGGGGGGGTTTTAAAATTTTATCATATCCTGGTATTATTTTGGTATATATCAAAAAAATTGCCTTTTTCCACTTCCACCGGGAGAATATAACAGGAAAAATCCCAATTTGGGGGGAGTAATGATTGCGGAGACTTTTTGACAAGGTTTTTACGGCGTTCCCCCAAGATGCGGGGCCCCTGATTTTTTTTAGGGCGAACCCCCACCCCAAACCCCTTTTCCCTATTAGGAGAGGTTTCCGCAAATTTTAACCCAGAATTTTCTAATCACGGTTTAAAAACTCCCCGCCCCAGTCAGGGTCCCTGAAAAGGGTTTAAAAAAGTAGGGCCCATCTATAACATATAAATATGAATTTCGGAAAAATATATACAGTATTTTCCACACTGCGGCGGGCGGATTCTTTGTTAAATGACTCAAATTGCTCTTTTGGGGCAATGGTGGAGGAGCTGGGACATATAGGATCGGCTCCCCGGCACATATTAAAAAATTTAATCACCCTTTCTACACTTTGCCGCCCTTTGGGAATCCAGAAATTTTCCCCTAATAAAATTTAAGGTATTTTGCCCCCACCAGCATTACATTTTTATGGCATTTAGAACTTTAAATTTTAGATGAAAATTTTTGGGCAGAAAGAAGGGTTTTAGCAAAATCACCCAATTCACTTTTGAAACCCTACCTCTGCCCAAATTACATTGTTCTCTAAATACAGCCCCAATTTCTTTTTTAGGGAAACCCTTTCCAATTTTTTCTTTCCATCATCAATTTAATCTCATTTTATAGTTTTTCCCCCTGTACCCTCTTTATCCAATATTCAAAAGGGGTAAAACTTAAATGAAATATTTATCTTTTTTTGAAATTTAAACACCCCTTGGTTACATTGATTAGTTTGGGTAAAAAAGAATACCTATTTATATCAAAGGCTAAGGGAAAGGGCAAAAAAATTGGAGCGGTGGGCACAGTAATTTTAACGGAGTAATATACGCCTTTTGTACGGCCAATTTCTTTATTTACCAACCAGCTCGGTCCCTTTTTAAACCCCTGACGCATTTACAAAATTTTGCATAAGGAACCCGAGACAAAAATCAGCTGGTTCTCCCCCCCAGGTATATATTAAATGTTAACATATGCGACCCAAACTATTATACTTCTCTTTCATCTGATTAAATTTCAGCGCTCTGTTTTGTACTACACAATTTTTCTTTTCCATACAAAACCCTTGTAAGGATACCTCATTATCAGATCAAATTAAGTGTTGCTAATTTTATTCCTGCAACTTATTTCTTATATAAAAAGCTAATTTCACCACATAAATGGGGGTTAATTACAACTGAGGTAAGGGACTGATTAATTGGAACACTTTAGCCTTAGACTAACAAGAGAAAAAACACTATTACATTTAAGGTAAGAACTGCCCATAGCCAATTTTTAAGCATCACAAAAAATGTGGGGTACTTTTCCCCTTTAAATTGGCTACCTGGGGTGGGAAATCCAACATTGAATTTTTTCATAATCACCAATTAAATTTATCCCACCCGTTTAAAGAATCCTCAGGTAGAATTTCATCCCCAAACACATTTTAAATTTCCATGCTTCCGAATTTAAAAATTTCCCCCCTTTAGTAAGGGGTGACACTAAACCCAGTGGATCAAAAAATTTGAAACTTTAGCAAGCAAAAATCTCTTAGTTAATTTATTTGGGATACTTAATTTTTAGGTTTAACATTAACAAATCTCTCTCAGTATCCCCAAATTAAACCCCAAAACATTTCTACATTTTGGGGATTTCACCCGGGGAAAACTTTACTTATTTTGTCCCCTTTAAATTTTGGGCGAATTACTATTCCATTCCCTCATAGGGATGTTTTCACTTTGCTTATTTTATTAGCCTCCCATAAGCCATTAAAAAGTTCCTCTTCAGTTTACGTCCCCCGAAATTTTCCCCCATAAAATTTTTTTGCTCTTCTTTTCAATGGGGCTTCCCGATGTTTAAGGGGTGATTTATTGTTGCTTGAAGAGGAACGGACTGGTGTCAAAAACA